CGGTGCGCGGGCTTCTCATTGCAGTGGCTTCTCTTGTTGCAGAGCACAGGCTCTAGGCGTGTGGGCTCAGTAGTTGTGGCTCACGGGCTGTAGAGGGCAGGCTCAGTAGTTGTGGCTCACGGGCTTAGTTGCTCCGCGGCGTGTGGGTCTTCCCAGAACAGGGCTCGAACCCGTGTCCCCTGCATTGGCAGGCGGATTCTTAACCACTGTGCCACAGGGAAGTCCCCATGCTTTTCTGTGTATGTTTAAGATACATTAAAATCCATCTCAGCAGGTCTCAGTGGCTCTTTGAGCGACTATGGGTGGTAGAAAAATACTGTGCCGTCATTTGATTGGCAGTGTTTCTTCTTGGTGGTACATCAACGGTGGGGTAGCTTATGATCGATGCTGTCTTGGACGTGGTAGATCACGTGTCTCTAGCACGTGGCACAGTGCGAGGCTGCTCTCCCATGTCCATGCCCCTCCAGGGGCCCGCCCTCTCAGGGGACTGGGTCAGGCCAACCTGCGTCACCTGCAGAGCGGAGTGCTGCTGAGGTCTGCTGGTTTCCAGTCCTTGCCCCTGGTTGGAGCAGCAAGTCCTTTTGGAAGTCAAAGAAAAATATACCAGGAGCAGACAACCTAGAAGAGTTGAGCCTATTTAAAATATATAATTGTCGGGGAAGCAGATTGTCTGTTTCAGCACAGAATGGGGTGTCCGTGCTGTGCTCACCATTTGGGTGTTGGATTCACGCTTTAGTTGGGTTATAGGGTGCGTGCGTGCCACGTGACCTGTGGCATATTTTACTTAGAAAACCACGTCAGCAGTACTTTGGGTCATACATCGAATGCTAGGAAGTTCTCACCTTTAGTCATGGATGTTACTGGTGTTTTATGTGGGTAGCAGCTCACTCTCCCCCAGACTTCTTTTTCGTGTTGTTCAAAGATTTAATTATTTTAGACAGAAAAAATGGTGTAGGTACTTTCATTTTAGTGTAGGTAGATTTTGGATGGCACAGCACATTCATCCAAAAATGCCAGCAGTTGCCCTGATGAATTCTGGGAGGCATAGGGAATTCAGAGATGAAGAGAGGTCCCTTTCCTTGATCGGCTTGTATTTTGTGGGGGCTTGAAAAGCATACCTTAGTAATTGTTATGTGATGTGACAGCCACCAGAGCAGAGAGGAACTCACGTGAATTTCAGCAGAGAGGAGAGACGACCAGCGCTTCAGGCCCCGGAGACCGTCAGCAGACAGGCTGGGCTGCTTCTCAGAAGCCGAAGGCCAGCGCGGGGTGGGAGGAGAAACATGAGTTGTTTGGTGTCTCCAGCCCCCGTTTTCTCTAAATCAGTGTAAATGCAGCGCTTTCCTATTGGTGATGAAATACACTCAGTCATTTTATTTCCCGACTTGAAATCCTCCAACGCTCCTTCTGGCCTTTAGGGTAAACGTCTTCGTTCATGGTTTAATAACCCTTCTTGTTTTGGGCCCTGCTTCCCTCCCATCTCATCCTGTCCCCCCTGTCCTTCTCGCCCCTTCTGAGTTCAGCTCACACTTTCCTCGGTGCAGGAGAGCCCTCTGCCCCGGGGAACTTACAGTCCGTTGGTGGAGTCATGAACTAAAACCGCCTGCTGTTGTAGGTGCAAGAAGGAAAAACAGACACACCGGGCTTTGTAGAACTTCCAGAAAGACCCTTCTGATGTTTTCTCCCTGAATTCTTCCCCCGCCCCCTGCGATGGAGGATGTTCCCTGCTATTCTGGTACTGACTGCCCTGGCCTGTGTCACCCCCCCAGTTCTGTCAGATTCCTGAGGGCTGGGACCTGGCCTCCTCCCGTCAGCATGCCCCCAGCCCTGAACATGTATGGAGTACTTACTGTTTGGATGAGCTCGTTTCTGGTAATTTCTTGATTCCACATCCACAGTTGCGTAGACTGACCTGAACAGAGGAGGTCCACGTGAGGATGATGTGCTCACACACATACTCGCAGTCGGGGTCGTCAGGGACTTTCTAACGCTTTGAGGAGCAGCCTTAGACTCCACGCTTGAGTGATACACTGATCTTTGAATAAGTGCGCAAAACAGGAAGTTAAGCTTTAATGCACTTGAGTTACGTGAACATTCTTTCTGTAACAAGCCGAGGGGTATATCAACGCTCCATGCAAGTGGCGCTCTAGTGCTCGTCCCACCACCGCGCCTGTACCGTCCACGGATCCCTGGACAGGTGTGTTGGGAATTAAGTATGTGGCGTCTGTTTTTAAGGTTTGTTTGTTTATTTGTTTTTAAGGTCTTGTGGTCTGATTCTTCAATAACATCAGTAACCAAATCTTCCTCTGAAGTGACTGAATTTATTTCAAAGGTAAGGTGATTTAAGGGCTCTTACAAAAATTAAAAGGGTCTCATTCCCCACGGTCCAATGGACTGCCAAGTAATTTCCGTGGTTGCAGCCTTCAGCGGGTGCAGCGAGTGCAGTGCCGGGGATTCGTGCTCCAACAGGGCAAGTGGCCCTCAGGGCCACGGTCCACACTCCTTCCGGTTGCGGAGAACGAGATGGGACGGAAAGATGCGAGTGTGAGGTGCCCAAGGGGTGTTTGGCTGGCGGTGGTTTGTTACAGCTCAGCCGAGGCTGAGTGAGGGGCTCACGTGGTGGCCGTGGGCAGACACTTCACCTTTTTCCACCTTATTCCATTTACATATTGAATTTTCCTGTTTGTTTTTATTTTTTTAAATTGAAATACAGATGATGTACAACCTGTTTGGTTTAAAATTGGTTCAACAAATACCGTTTGAACAAGCTGCACTACTAAAGAATTACCTCTTTACCCCCATGTGCACGTGTTATATACGTACACACCTGTGTGTCTAAAGTTCCCTGGCCTGGCCTGTGCCGGAGTAGCGAACCACTGTCTTTGCCGCAGTTGTGCAGCTGAAGTGGTCACCTTTGTTGTGTGGAGTAACATAGCTGAAGTGTCTCCAAAGTGTGGCTTGCAATTTGATTATAAAATTGAGGATATAATCCTGTAGGAGAGAATCGAGTTGATGGATCCTGTCTGAGCAGAAGCTGTTTGAGTGTGCCTCTTAGTTAGGCCTGCCATACGCCGAAGGCCGCCACAGTGCCATGCTTTCTAGGATTGATGAGTGATCCTCCCCGGGGGTTCCCTGTTTCCTCTGCACCACTTAGAACACTGAATTTCCTCTCCTTTGTGCCTATCCTCTTGTCTTGTGAAAAAGCACTTCTCTGGACTCCGCTGGTGCCGGCAGACCTTGCCACTCTTTTGTCTGGGTGTTTGCAGTGGCTGATACTCACCTGGCTTTGGGTTCTCTGCCCTTCCTGGTCTCTGCCTTGCTGTCTGTCAGTAATTTTGGAAAATTCTTGTCCGTTATCTCTTCAGCTGTTTCTTCTGCCCCACTCTCTCTTCTGCGCCTTGAGTTACGTGTACTTGACCCTGCCTTCAAGTTTACTTACGTTTCTCCTCAGCTCTGTCCTGGTTGCTGATGAGCTGAATTCTTCATCTCTGGTACCACGGTTTGGGGGATTTTTGTTCTTTTGTTTTCTGCAGCTTTTCCGTTTGATACGTCTTTTAATAAAGTTTCCATCTCTCTGATGAAATTTCCCACTCGTTCATGCATGTTCATTTTTTTAAACGAAGTCCTTTAGTATGTTAAGCATAGTTATTTTCAAGTCCTTGTGTGATAGTGCCAACATCTGGGTTATTTTCCAGTCTGGTTCCGATGATTATCTTGACAATAGATTGCCCCCTGTTTTTTAATCTTATAATTTTTGACTGAACGTTAGACGTCATGTCTAGAAACTAGCCTGGAAACGGGCCTGCTGCTGCATCTGTCGGACCGGCGGTGGGGCTGCAGGTTGATCTCATCAGGAGCGGAGCTGGGTTGGGGTTTTGCTGTTGCACCACAGGCCTCAGGTTCCTCCAGGGAGACCTGCTGGTCCCTTGAGCCTTGAGAGGAGCCTGGAGTGGTCTTGCTTCACCTGTGGCACAGAGGGGGGTCTCCCTGCTCCGTTGACTCCTCCCTCCCTGGGGAGACTGCTGTTACTTGTTGCCTGGTGATGGATGCGCGGTGAGGGTCTGAGCGGTTCCCCGTCCTGCTGGTGCAGCCTCAGCTCTAGCCACAGGGTCGTGGGGGGCCTCTCTCAGCATCCCTGCTCCTTCCTTCCCCAGCAGCAGCTGACTCGGCTCAGGAGGGCTTTCTTGCCCCTTGCTTGGGGCCAGAGGGGTTTTGTTTTCATCTTCCCTGAGCAGCAGGGTATCTCTGCCTGTGACCTGGTGCCGGGAGGACTTTCCCCTCCTCCTCCAGAGGCATGAAGGCATTCTGCCTCAGCCCCCAGAAACGGGGGTTTTGCTTGAGCTCTGAGAGCACGAGCAATCTCGTCCCTCCCCCAGCGGGTTACGGGCTTTCTGCTTTGGATTGAGAGCAGGCTCCAGGGAAAGGCATGGGGTTTTCAGCCTCAGCCCCAGGGGCAGCTGCCCCACCCCTGTGCCACCTGTGCAGACTCTCTCCAGCCTCCCCGCCTGTGGAAGGGAGCTCGGGAATGAGGACACAGGCTCCCTGTGTCTGGGCTCCGGGCTGACTGCTGTCTGACGCACACTCAGCCTGTGGGGATGTGTTCATCCCAGCCGATCTCTTCTACCTGCTTGTATGGCAGCCATCTCTCCCGCGGGCTCTGCCACGGCTGAGACAGTTCACGTGCCCTGTGTCCTCAGAGGGGCAGGTCCGTCTTGGAATTCGGTTCACCTGGTGGCCTTGCAGCTCAGCCCTCTGCTGGGCTCCAGAGCAGGCACAGCTGTGTGGGGTGTTGAGCTTCTTGATGTTGTGGTGGGTTGTTGCTTCCTGCGTCCCAAGTGGACGCAGAAGCCCAGGTGGCTCCCAGAATCACAGCAGCAGGTGTCAGCAACCAGTACCTGCCCAAGTGTTTCCCACAGTGAGGAGTTCTGGTTCCGTAAGATGAATTGTGACATACTTCCTGTGCCTTTTCGTCTTTCAGTTATCTCAGCTGTATCCTGAAGAAAATTTGGAGAAATTCATTCCTTGCTTAGCTGGCCCAGATTCATTTTATGTAGAGCGAAACCACATGGATCTGGAAGCGGACCTGAGGTAATGCTCGTCACCCCACCCAAGGCCGCGGCCAGCAGCCCCCCTGCGGTGCTGCGGCCACCGATGGCCCTCTGCAGCGTGGGCGGCCACCGATGGCCCTCTGCAGTGTGGGCGGGGCCCGACGTGAGCTGCCTAGGCACCTGAGGGGCTCCTCAGGTGACATGTGGTCTGGATGGTTCAGGTCTCCTGTTTGCCTCTAGGGGTTTTCATCAGTTACGGAGAATTTGAAGGATCTTAATAATCTAGGCATGATTTTGAGAATATGTAAGTGAAAGAATTTCAAAGTGTATGCCACCATTTAATGTAATTTTGACGGTCTTAATGAAATAAAATCTGCTTCTGTCCTATAGTTGAAAGGATAAAATGAGGACCTAATAAAAAGTCTCCTGGGCCCAGTGGCTCTGGACCCTTGATGACGTCCTGGCGCGTTGGTCTTGTACATGCGCACAGAGGGCCCCGGGGACTGGGGCCAGCCAACATCAGGGTGCCACACAGCAGCTGTGACGGCCCCAGCTGTGCTCATGGCCCGGGTTGTGGGCCCTGAAAGACTCGATTCATACAGCGTAATACAGTGTAAATAAGGAAAAGGGGCACCAGGAAACAGTATGAATCATACCAAGAATGAAACTGAATAAAGCAGGAAGAATATAGGTTAAGGCACTTCTGTTTAGTTTTTCTCTGCTATATATATCTCTTAATTGAAAATTTCTCTCCCAGTTACTTTTTGGTAACACGTTTTAATGCTGATAAAACAAACCACTCTGTTTCATTTCTAGGTATTTGGCTTCATTACCTTCTCACATATTAAAAAATGACCATGTTAAGAAATTTTTCAGCACTTCATCTCCCACCCAACAGCTTCAAAGTCCAAGTGAGTTTGTAAAATATAATTCAATAAAAGTAGAAACATTTTTATGGTCTGTAAATAAATTCTATCTATTTTAACTTGTAGGTCCTGGCAACCCTTCCCTGTCTAAAGTCGGTACCATGATGGGCGTGTCTGGAAGGTGAGACTACCATGTAACCAACACATTTCCAGTCAGCCTTGTTACAGAGCTTACTTTTCATTTTGTGTAAATAGTTGTTTTTAGAGTTAAGTCATTCTTGATCTTACTCTTGAATAATAATATTGAGAGAAGAATTGGATAGAGATAATCCACTTTTTGATTTCTTAAGAAAAAAAAAAAAAAGTGGTTCTCTGAGCCCCTGGAATTAGAATTCCCAAAGACCCTTATTGCAAATGCCAGTTTCTGGGCCCTGCACATTCTAGGAAACCAAAATTTCTGAGAATCTTCATTTTTACAAGCTCCTAGGGAGTGATTAAGCCCATGAAGGGCCAGAGTTGCTGCTCTAGAGGTCCCTCTGCCAGCACGGGGCCCGACAGTGATGGTGGCAGTGCTCGGGGACAGACAGACTGCACATCTGGACTGACAGCCAACATTAAAATGGGCTAACATCACAGACGGTGTGTACACGCGTGCGCGTGCGCGCACACACACACACACACACACACACACGGTTCTGTGAGCTCTAGTCAGGTAATGAGGTCTTGGAAGGTGCTGACTTCCTTCACCCTCTGCCTGGAGTGTGTAAACATGTAATATGTCAGTTTGCAGTTTAGTGTGGAAGGGGCAGGGACAGAGGGTCATGCTTCTGCTCCTTCAGCTTTCTAGAATTTACTTTTCAAAAAAGAAATTAATTTGAATATTAAATATTTTGGAGTTAGTTTTAATATATGATTATCAGTATCATCCTGTGATAGAAGCAACAGAAAGAAACTAGGCAGCAAAGTCAGAAGTCTGGTGGTGACACCCAGACGTGTACATATACATAATATGTACACACGTACTCAAGCGCAGCATCTAGATGGGTACACACACGTCCGTGCATGCACACGTGCACGCCTACAGACGTTCACCCCAGGGTGGTGGTGGCAGTAGCTCTGGCGCCAGCAGTGGACATGGCTGCAGATGCAGTCCAGGCTGTAGGAGCTGGTCCTCGGTGGAGGCCGTGGTCTTTTGAAAACTACCTGTCTGCTGTCCTCGCAGGCCTGTGTGCGGAGTGGCCGGCATCCCGTCCTCTCAGGGCGGCGCCCAGCATCACGTGCAGCACCCGGCCAGCACGTCCGCCTTGCCCCACTGCTCGCATGCGGGGGGTGCAGGCTCAGCTCTGGCCTACCGGACCCCGATGGACAGCTCGCCCGCTATCTTGATGCCTTCCAGCCTGCAGGCCCCGCAGACCCAGGAGCAAAATGGGATTTTAGACTGGCTTCGGAAACTGCGTTTGCACAAGTACTACCCCGTCTTTAAACAGCTCACTATGGAGAAGGTACGTTGGTTACTAGCAGGCAGGGAGAATGTGCTTGTTGTCTCAGGTCACCTGGCATTCTTTGGACCTCATTCCTAGAGGAACTGAGTTGGGTTTCTGCAGCGTGTGTGTCTTGGAGGTCATACCACCTGGTCCTTAACACCTGCGGATGCCTGTCCCCACAAGTCCTGTGAGCTTGCTGGAGGGGCCATGGATTTGAATTTGGAGGCTACCTGCAGCTGAAGCAAAAACTGGATCACAGTTGCTTGTAAACCAACAGCTTTCTTAAGATAGTTTGGGGTCTTCCCAAACGAGACACTCACTGTCTGTGACTGAGGGCTGTGTCTCCAGCAGCCCTTCAGTGGGAAGAGGTAGTGAATTGTGGGCCCCGCGTCCCCCTTTCTTAGACGCCTCTCAGCGTAGCCTTTTACAAGAGCCCAGTGCAAAAGGGTTGTCTGATGACCTGCCTTCATGTAGGCTCCTAGAGCTAAAGGAATAGATGAATTTTACGTCTTTCAAGCAATCCTACGTAGCAGTTATCTTTTACAATACAGTTTTGACAAGGAGCGTTTTTTCACTGTTAAAAAAAAATTCTGAAGTTTCTTAAGTTTCAGTGTCAATGGTAAAAAGTAAATTGGACCTGTATGTGATGTTTGAACTCTGAGCTCCCCCTGCTGGATAAAGTGACTTGGTGCCTTTTATCTCTGCAAACGTTTCATTTGTCCAAAAATCTGCAATTGAAGAATCTAGAAATCAAGCTTTTACTGCTAATAAAACACACATTTTAAGTAAATTTTCAATACTCTCAGTTTAGGATTCACAAGTCTTAAAAACAGCAGATTTTACTAACCTTGGTCATGATCAGTTTAAAAAGTTTTAGCATAATGTATGAGTTGAAAAGGCTAAGATCACAAATCATGTCATGGACCATTGTGAGAACCAAGTATCATCTTTTTTCTTAGTATGAGGCCAGTGGGTTAGGTCGCTGTTCAATTTGGATGGCATCTACTTTTCTGGATCACTGGCTACTCAACAAAGTTGCTGTTGTCCCTAAAATGACCATGATCTCAAGAAAAAAGAGCCACTAAAGAAGACTGCTCCTGCTCCTGTCTGTTGGAGGGAGAGCCCCGGGAGGGGAGACCTCACTTCCACCAGCTGCATCTCTGCAGCAGTTGAGACGCAGAACACTGTTGCAGCCTCCTGCCCGCATAGCACGGACCTTCCAGGTGCCCAGTCTTCACCCAGCTGTCACTCGGACGCCTGTGCTGAAGGCTCAGTGGACACAGCCCGTGACCCTCAGACGCACAGTGAGCGTCTTATGTTTTGGACCCTGGACACCAAGTCATTTAGCAAGCAAATGCTTTACGGCGATCCCCAGTCTTTTTTTATGTGCTTAAGTTTGATCTGTTTACATATCCTAGAGGTAGAATACGCTTATGAAGGTAAGCTCCAGGTTCTTTGTTTTCAGAATCCTGATTAATTCTCGCACTTTGTAATTTGTTCCCTCTGTGGCAGTTTCTGAGCCTCACGGAAGAAGACCTAAATAAGTTTGAGTCCCTCACCATGGGAGCCAAGAGGAAACTCAAGACCCAGCTGGAGCTGGAGAAGTGAGTGTGAGGCCGTTTGCGGAGCGCGTCTGCATTTTAGTGTCCAACACGCGGAACAGGTGCTAGGGCTTAGTGCTGCTGATTGCTTACCAAACCTTAATTAACGCTCTTCAGAGTCTACAGGTGTGGCTCTGGTTTGCTAGGAAGGACGCTTTAGAGTGAATCTGACAAGTCAGAATGCGTTATCTTCCACCCTGGAGATTATTTTGACGGAAATCACCCTTCTTAAGTAGAGACTGTGAAACACGGAGAGGCTCTGCAGCAGAACTGAACGCTCGCTTGTTGGTGTGCTTTCCTGTCGCACAGGGAGAAGTCAGAGAAACGGTGCCTGAACCCCTCGGCCCCTCCCCCAGTCAGCAGCAGTGGAGTGGCCCGCGTTCCCCCCACCAGCCACGTGGGGCCTGTGCAGCCGGTGCGAAGCAGCCATGCTGCAGGTGGGTGGGGCCGGGCGCGCCTGGACCTGGGACCCTTCGGAGGAGGGCCAGGCCACAGGTCACGCCCCTTTTCCCTTTCTGTTTTCTAGTGCTTGGAGTTACTTTTCATTATTTTAGTTTATTTTATTTTTAAATTAATTAATTAATTTAACTTTTGGCTGCGTTGGGTCTTCGTTGCTGCGCGCGGGCTCTCTCTAGTTGAGGCGAGCGGGGGCCACTCTTCGTTGTGCGCGGGCTTCTCATTGCGGTGGCTTCTCTTGTTGCAGAGCACGGGCTCTAGGTTCGTGGGCTCAGTAGTTGTGGCGCACGGGCTTAGTTGCTCCGCGGCACGTGGGATCTTAGTTCCCTGGCCAGGGCTTGAACCCGTGTCCCCTGCATTGGCAGGTGGATTCTTGACCACTGAGCCACCACAAAGTCCCAAGATTGGGACTTTTCTGTTTCCATTTTCTTGTACTTAAGAGTCACTTTTCATTATTTTAGCTTTTATAGTTTCTGCGGCAGGAAAATAGAAGGGACGTTTGTGTTAGAAGCTGGAGACTGGTGACCCGCCTGAAGTGGTTTGGGCAAAAAAAAAAAACAGAGCATTAGACCCAGAAGTGGCTCTGGTGAAAGGGAGAGAGTAGGAAGTATGCAAACTAGATGAAAGCCCCTGCTCCCTCCCCGACCACGGCAGGTGTGGGGGCGGCCTTGGGCCTTGCCCTGCAGGTCCATCCTGGAGTCCTTGATGCCAAACCACCAGCCTCCCTCCTCTTCTCCCTGCCGTCCTGGGCTCGGCAGGAGGGGGAGGCCCGCGGCGACAGCTGTTCTGCTGTTTTCCTCATGCACTCGAAATATCAAGAGTGACAGTAAACCGGGAAGAAAAAATGTCAGTGCATCTTTTCAGTGCTTATTTGACTGGAAAGGTCTTATGTCCCCGGGCCTCCGAAAACGGAGTCGTCTGCTTGTGGAGGGCGGCTGTTGTAGCACCCGGTGGTTTGGGGGTCCTTTTCCTGTCCTGCAGCGTCTGCCTGGGGAGGCTGAGAGCACGGCCACGTGTGCGTCTGCCGCCTGGCGAGCTCGTGAGCCTCAGCCCTGTATGAATAGGGACAGGATAGGACCTGGCTCCTTGGGACTGCTGTGAAAGTGAGCCCGATAGGCATGCATGCGGGTGGGAGGGGAGGGCGCGGTCGGCGCCGGCTGGCACAGCCCCCGTCGGCGTCCCGCGGCTCGCGGACCTTGGTGCCACCTCCGGGCTGTCACCTGTGCCTTCTCCGCAGCGCTGCGGGTGGAGGTGGCGCAGCCCCCGCACCAGACGGCCCGGGAAGGCAGCTCCTCCGAGTGTTCCAGCTCCTCGCCCAGCCCGATGGGCGTGCAGGCGCGGGAAGAGAGCTCGGACAGCGCAGAGGAGAACGACAGACGTAAGCACGGCCCGCGCGGCCCGCGCTGTGCTGCCGCCCCGGCCTGCGGAAGCTGTGCTGATTTCACTTCAAGTTCCGCCAGGCCCACAGCCCAGGTCCTCCCCGTGCAGAACGAAGCAGGCTCCAATCCGTCGGGCCACCACCCGCTGCCCCCGCAGATGATGACGGCGGCCTCGCACATCGCGCCCATCCGGATGCTGAACTCTGTGCACAAGGCGGAGAGGGGGGGCGCGGACATGAAGCTCCTCTCGTCCTCTGTGCACTCGCTGCTGTCTCTCGAGGAGCGCAGTAAAGTCTCTGGACCAAGAAGTGGCATCAAAGTGGACAAGAGCTTTGGCAGCACCATGATGGACATGCTACCCGCGTCCACCCCCCATCAGCCCATGCAGGTCCTTTCTGGACTCACCGAGAGCAGCTCTGTGTCGCCCACCGTCTCCTTTGGTCCCCGCACCAAAGTCGTCCACGCGTCCGCCCTCGACAGGGTGATGAAGCCGGCACAGCAGCCGGCCCTGGTGGTGGAGACCAGCACTGCTGCCGCAGGGACGTCCAGCACCGTCTTCCATGTGGCTCGGCCACCCATCAAACTTCTGGTGTCTTCATCTGTCCCTGCAGATTCTGCCGTGTCTGGGCAAACCTCCTGTTCCGGCAACGTGCAAATAAGCGTGCCCCCTGCCATAATAAACCCTCGGACTGCTGTGTACACAGCCAACACCAAAGCTGCCTTCTCTGCGATGAGCAGTGTGCCCGTGGGCCCCCTGCAGGGCAGCTTCTGCGCAAACAGCAACACTGCCTCTGCCAGTAGCCACCCTGCCACGTCCTTTGCAAACATGGCCACCGCGCCCAGCTGCCCCGCCCCCAGCTCCAGCCCCGCGCTCTCCTCGGTCCCCGACAGCAGCTACTACGGCGGCGGCGGCGGCGGCGGCGGCGGCAGCGGTGGCGGCTCCCCCGGAAATCTCCCCACCTCGGCCCAGAACCACCACCACCACCACCACCATCAGCAGCAGCCCGCGCCCCAGCAGCCCGCGCCCGCCCCGCCCCCCGGCTGCGTCGTGTGCACGTCCTGCGGCTGCAGCGGGAGCTGCGGCTCCAGCGGCCTAACCGTCAGCTACGCCAACTACTTTCAGCACCCGTTCTCGGGGCCGTCCGTCTTCCCCTTCCCGTTTCTGCCGTTCAGCCCCATGTGCGGCAGTGGCTACGTGGGCGCCCAGCAGTATGGCGGCGGCGCCTTCCCGGTCGTGCACTCGCCCTACAGCAGCGGCGTGGGCCCCGAGCCCGTGCTGGGCGGCCAGTCGGCCTTCACCGTCCCGCCTGTGCAGAACTTCATGGGGGCGGCGGGTGTCTACCAGGCCCAGGGCTTGGTGGGCAGTAGCAACGGCTCCAGTCACAAAAAGAGCGGGAATCTGTCGTGTTACAACTGTGGGGCCACCGGTCACCGCGCTCAGGACTGCAAGCAGCCGTCCATGGACTTCAACCGGCAAGGTAAAGGCCCCCGAGGTGGAGAGCTCCAGACAGGAGCGTCCTTTCTGTGAAAGTAATAGTCAACTTCCTTTTTTTTTTTTTAAAGCAAGCAAGAAGTGGTTTTTCAAATGCTCTCTGAAAAAGCACGAAACTCTTGATGGGCTGTGCAGCCCCCAGAAGGGCTGCTTTGGTTCTCAGACTGTCTTTGTGATTTCAGCCTGCTTCTCATTTTAGAGTGTGGCTAGCTGGCTGTGGCCCAGTGGCTCCTTGGTCTGGTATTTTGTGCCACGTGATCGGGGAGGAAGCATGGGTGATTTAGTACCACCGCCGCTGGTGTTTAACTTGAGAACCGAGGGCGTGGCGTGTGAGTTCAGGCGCTACAGGTGGAACTCGCTGTCCCCGCTTCTCTTCCCCCGTCTCGAGTGGCAGTGGCCGTGGCCGTGGGTGTTGTGTGGCGGCTGCGTGGTGTCCTCACTCTCTGTGCTGCATCCTCTTCCTTCCCCTTTGCTCCTCCTCCTTGTCTCCCTCAGTCAAGTGTGTGTCTGCTGTCGTCACCACACCAGGTTTGTTCTGCCGTTTTCCTTGGAAAGGTTAGGCTTGGGCGTTGGGAAAACTGGTCCCAGCCTGCGACTGCCCACTGTGCGACCTTGGATAGTCAGCCACTTGCTTTCTGGAGACTTTTGAGGGTTGTTCCAGACCTGCCTGTGCCCCTTAGTCACCTGGAGAGCTTTACAGACAACTTGGAATCAGGTCTGGTGGCAGGTGGAGTGACTGTGGGCTGTGGCGCACCCCCCCCCCCCC